TTCACGAGTAAACCAGCGTACTGAAATGACTGAACAGAACATTAAAATCAATAAAAACTGGACGTGTTAGAAGATTGGAAAACTGTGGTCAAGGGACGAAATAGGGAACAGCACAACTGCGCCTTATGAGTGAAGCAGAAATAGCCGAAATCCATACAAGAGAAAAACTCATAAACTAAACTAAAGTGAGGAAACAGATCACCAAAATCGTAATATCCGATCAGGCAACCAAATCTGCTGGTTGACGGGGAGGGAGCGCACTGCGCGAGGTAGTAGTTGATTTAAGGGTTGAAAACCCTCTAGTCGAATAAAGTTATCTGTGTATATGACGCTAATCCCTTCTAATGCATTTTGGTTAAGTGACTTCAGTGATGTTCTCTCTTGGAATACTTTCACTTCAATATGACAGACACGAATCGATTCTCCTTCTGATTTCCGAATCATCCGTGTAGACGTTTACAAACACCAACTCATTTGATTCCATACAGACATCATTATATCGGTCTGAATGTGAAAACACTGAAAACGGAAGCCCGTATTCACCGTGTACTCTGGATAAAATAACGGGCATATTCTCTCGGAGCACGGATCAAGTGCCCTCAGTTTAAAAACGACGTGACAATAGTCATCAAACGAATAAAAGGCAAAGAAACTCTACAACAGGTTGATACCATTACACTAAGTTGTTTGGGCAATGCGATTCAAGAGCATAAATTTGGCCGGTGAAGGAGTCCAAAATCATGCGAGTGGAGTTCAGATCGAAAACGAACAATTTCTCACCAATGAATTTTAATTCTATTCACAAATGAATATCTTTTAGATATGATACACTCTACTCCCTCCAAAACGTTTAACACGACGAAGAAAAGCCATTCCTTGAGCAGTATCAGGCAAACTCATTTACTTCAAGAACATCTCATCACTTGCTTAGGCAGTTAAGGTAAAACAACACTAAAGAAGATCACATAGCATCAAACGACCAAACAAACAAATACAATGGATCAAACACAAAACGTTTTAAAGCAATGGAAAGTTAAATATCACAATAACGACCACAAGGCACATCACATTGTTCGTTGTTTTACGAGTAGAGTCAGCGTAGCAGTTTAGGATAACAAAACAGAAATATCATGATCTGCATCAGTTCACTGAAGTTACTGCGACAAGCAACCAACAAGAATATCAACTAAACAAATAACTAGACTTTGTGACCAGTTCAACGGGATTAACCTCACCATAACTCCCACGAATTGTGTGTAGCTGTTCGCGTAACCTTTGACCAATCTTGCCTCCGTCCGTTTTCTGATTCATTTTGCTGACGTATTCCCGTATCTAGAACCCTGTAAACTGTATACTTTGTTATTCAACAACCGCTATGTATTAAAGTACACCGAGGATGAACGATAAACACAGCTCATGAAATGTCGGTTTATCTAACGGTATGAAAACATCCGTGTTATACCGGTAAAGAACAGGTCAATGGGCAACAGTGATCTAATCGTTGATTTTCAATCTGACCGGGTACGGGCATGCATCAGAGCAATGTGAACGTAACCTCTCTCACTTATCTCGGTCAGTGAGGAACGCGATCGTATTTCAAAGTCAAAAGTTAAAGTTTTATTATGGGCATTACTTACAAGCAGATGCTTTTCTTGTCCCATAGGGTGTTAAAACAAATCGAACTGTAACAGTGATGGACAAAATTCCATGTGCCGCATTTGGTTGTGTTTTGCGTTCTCATGAATGTTGGAATGCAATGTGTGTTAATGATTCGTCAAGTTTTACCTTGAAAGAATCAATCGTCTCGACACATACAACATGAGATGGTAGAGAATTCCAGGCAGTGCACTTTCTGACGGCGAACGCATGCCGTCGGCAGCCCAGTCGAGATTTTTGGAGAACTAACTTGAATGGATGTCCTCGTAGATTAACGTTTGACGACAACGTCAGAAGACGGCGACAAGGGTGATTTGGGTTGTGTAATATTTGGTACACTAAAATAAAGTCTCCTCGAATCCGACGATACTGAGCAGAGTATAGACCCAACGACTGCAGTCTCCCCATCTATCAATCATGACAAAGTCCTTTGATCATCTTCGTGGCGAGCTTTTGTGGACGCTCCAGAATCTTATGATCAAGTTGTAACCATAGATTCCAAGTTTGGAATGCATACTTAATATGCGACCGGGTGTATGCTGACAACAGACGTGAGAATAACGATGATTCAAAACGACCAAAAATCGACATGTTTGAATACTGTTAATGACGCCCCGGCGCAGTTAACAGAACAGCTCAGTTCTTCGTTGACTATAACACCCAAGTCCTTCTCTGTTGATGCATGAGGCAGTAGTTCGTTTCCGAGGAGATAAGGTAACCGCCCATGGTGGCGTAGCGAAATCACCTTGCGTTTGGAGACGTTGAATTGGATGTCGTTCTCAATAGACCATTTGTGAGCTGCATTCAACGTTTCTTGGAGTTCCAGCGAACCCCGCTTTATGTTACTGTTTTCCAGATTTTTACGTCATCTGCAAACAATAATGTTTTTGGTCCCAAAACATTCGGTAGGTCGTTTATGAGCAAGAGAAAAAGTCACGGACCATGCACAGAACCCTGGGAACTCCGCGAGAAACGGCGATAGGAGCGGACAGTGCATTAGAGACTCGAACCGACAAAGTCCAGTGTTGAAGAAACTCAGCAATCCAATCAAGCGCGAGGTTGTACAGTATACGGAGCAGTATTTTGTGGTTCACCCGATCGAACCGCTTGGAGAAGTCCAGGTAAACCACATCAACAGCATCGCTTTTGTCCATCCATCGTGAGCCAGGAGCAGATTGGTAGTACATGATCTCTTTTGACAGAATCCATGCTGTGCTAGGGAAAGGAGGTCGTATTTCTCTAAGTGTTCCATCAATAAATCCGCCACGATGGATTCCATGACTTTGGATAAAAGGGGTAGGAGTGTTACCGGGCGGTAGTTGGCAGGATCACTAAGACGGCTGCCTTTGTCAATTGGAAAAATTATGCAATGTTTCCACGACTGGGCAGCACGGTTGCGTCAAGCATCCTTTGGAACAGAAAACCTAGCGGCTCAGATATGTGGTCCGTTTTGGGCCCCTGATTTTCTGACAACCTTAGTAACTGAGGCGATCAGGTTTGTAAGTCTGTGCGTAAATGCTTGCCAGGGGACCACTGGGTTACCTACGTCCCCAGGAAAGACCCACTGAGTGCAGTAAGCCAGAGGCTGCAATCTAGTATAGTCCATGGCGAGACGTATATTGTTTTGCGGACTTCTTTCTATCGAAGCGTAGCAGACATATTTGAACAACAATACTGCATGGTCACTGCGTCCTGAGGCGGGCGAGATATCGATGGATTCGACCATAAGTTCTTCGTTGGTTAGTACCAACATCGATGACGTCTCCAGTAAATAACAGCTGAATGGGCAACAGCGATCTAATCGTTGATTTTCAATCTGACCTGAGCTCGTGTTCTCGTCAGGGGGGGTACGGGCATGCATCAGAGCACTGTGAACGCAATCCCTCTCACTTGTCTCGGTCAATGAGGAACGCGATCATATTTGATAAGCTGATCGGGTGAACGGCACTCAGCTTGCCCCTTGGACAAAACGTGTACGCGTTTGTGTGAAAGCAGCCACTCAGAGTTCAGGGTGCAATGAGAACTTTCAAATGTACAAGAGTATAAGAAAAATAATTTTGTTTTGTTTCCTTGGCCGTTTGCTGAACATAGAGGAGCACAATCGTATTTCAATCTGTATCTCCTTAAACGATTCCCGGGGATGTGCTGGATGGGATGAGAAGGTAGGGCCAACCAGGTCGCTGGTTAGATAACCTTAATCAAACGACAACCGCTAACCGGAACGAGCCCTTGGGAAGTGTTCAGTGAAATACTTATTTCGGAATGCTTAAGACCAAACGCGAATCTTCTTGTGCAGCAATAGAAAGACCCCTCCCAATTGTGTATGGTACATCGTAGACGATGCTTGGCGTGCAACTTGGAAGCACTCTCATCAGTTCCGCCTCGACATGAAGTGTTGAATCGTTTGATCTTGCGAGATGATTTGAACAGGGTTCAGCGTCAAATGATGAAGCCTTTGTAATCAAACGAGAACCTGAGTAGCGCATTTAAAACATTCCTGTCCAACGCAGTGCACCGTTATTTTCGACGTTTTGCTGATGGCGGACGACAGGATTATGACTCACATACAAGGTTTCTTATAGCTGGAGAAGTTGCATTTGTGATGGTTGTATCATTGAAAAACTATGAAGTGCATGAATACACATAGAAACCAAGAATCCGGTTAATAACCCCGGGTACATTTTCCCCGGGATTTTCATACAAGACAAATATAAAGCTCTGATTGGAATTAAAATGACTGTTTTCAGAAACCTGTTATTTCTATACAGGTCCAAACATGTTCGTATTTATACCCTGGTTGTTGAGTGTAAGAGGGAGTTTGTAAGTTAAAGAAACACTGGAAAAACGTTCAATAAAATCTTATAAGTCTACTTAGGTTAGAACTGCCTAGCCATCACTTTATTGACGTTTATGATGTTCACGATACAGGGTGCGCTTCTGCCAATTGTCCTCCTCGTATTGTGAGCGTTATCGTTCACACTCTTCGAATCGCGATTTCCGTGATTAGCACGAAATCCAGCTGTTCAGTTTTCGAAAGATAGTTTCGCATTTCTCGTTTATTCATTTTTATTCATTTGGTTGACGAATCTACTTTATCATCTATTCCATTTGAAACCCTGGCCAGTTTCATTACTTACCACTAATTCTGGTTGAGTCCACTTCATCGGTTATGAAATGCAACTAGAAATCGCTATTTGCTTTGCTATTCCAGACCTGAACACAAGATTGGATGTTAAAATATTCAGCATTCTCTTCTTTGAGCAGATATTTCCGACGGAATGATTATATGGACGTGATTTCATTCAGTGTCATTATTTGAACAGAAAACCAAACATGTCTAACGATCAACTCTTTCCCTGCAAGAAGAACCCCGCAACAGAAGAAACAATATACAATCTAAAGAGAAGGGAGACCAAGACAACGAGGAGATAGGGATCTTGGTTGCTTACCACAGAACTTCCGCAGGCAGCGGAGCCAGCTGTAGATGACCGAAAGGTGCACCAGCATAGTGTCTTGCACGTTCTTTATTCAACAGCATGTTGGACCAACGTGTCACGGGTAGGCATATCGTGTGAGTACTTGGATGGATTGTGTAATCCGTAGGGATGGCTCGTTGTAGGTAAATTGAGAATTCTGTGGCAACACTGAAGAGAAAAACCAAAGAAGAATGATGAGCCAGTATTGGAGAACGTTTCTTTACCGAAAATAACACAAAACCGTGAGCTTTATTGCGTACCGTTCGAGTTTGGCCGTATTTGTAAGTAGAACTATGTGAGGTGGTGATATCGTGTATACCATGGAAAAGATCTTATGCATGTAAATTTATCCAAGCAACACAACGGAGTTAAATGTATCTACTTGGTCGTCTTTTATGATCTCTTCTGCATTCCACAAAAAGAAAATAGAAACCCCACGGTATGATCATACTGGTAGGCAGCTCTGCTGCCGTCCGGTTCAATACCACACCTAACCTATCGGGGCCTTACGTGGTTCGCCACTCCAAGTTCCGGACTTAGGTTGCCGGTTTCCTCCACTGAACAGCAAGTCCTCGTGACTATGGGGTTCAACCCGTCTGCTGTTCATTACACCTTGATGTGTAATAAAAATGTAACAGTAGTCAGATTTGATCAAATCGAGAGGTTTTATTCCTTGGGTTTCATTATTGAAGAATGCTTTGAATCGATGGATTTTCTCGAATTCTGCAGCCTTCCAGGCCTCCAGCAGAGTTATATCTCTATATGTCAGATACGAAACCACATGCAAACCCTATACATATTAGTGCAAGAGATGCGATATGACTGTGATAAGGGTATAGTTGAGAGGAAGTAAGGATGTAGATAAGATTGCAGTCATTGGTAACAGTCGCACTATTTAATGATCTAATCAGAAGGAACTCATGAAAATCAGGCTGCAGGAGAATCAAGAGGTTCTACGATACATTGATCCAACTCAAATAGGGCCAACTGGAGCACTCTCTATACATAGTTTTTACAAATGCGACTGTGAGTGATCCTTAGATTGAAAAAAGAATGTTGTCGAAACAGGGTAAAACGGCACAAAAACGACACGACTTTTCTCTTTTTAGTTCTAAGGTTGCAAATTGGAAAAGCATTCATGTTACTGGCTTTGATTCAATGTCATTTCTCAGCCTATGACAATCTGAATGTTTGTTAACCCCACGGAAAGACCCCCAAGTACCCACATTTAAACACAATTTCTTTAAAATGTTAGGCCTTTTACTAATAGCTTCCTGTCATCGCTGGTTCTTCCAGCCTGGTGGTCCAGTGATCGAAAATAACGTACGGTAGGGTGACGTTGTCCACGTATTCGTAAAACGCGCCACGGCTATCTCAGAGACTGCCCTGAAATAGTTTAACTCAGGAACGGATTATCTAAAGCAAAACGACGCTCCCACCATATGCCGTCGAATCCTCGCAAACAACGGTCGTCGCAAACAGATGGGTGATGAGTATGATCTTCTCGGAAGGGCCAATTTTTACAGCTGTAAAGAAGCTCAACGCTTGAGCATTTATACAAGCCCTTTAAGTGAAAAGAATGTGTTGCACCTTCGTTAGAGGTGCCATCGACTAGCAGAAGCCAATTTTGCCCGAATTCAACACGAATGATCTTACTCGAACTCCCGAGGTAAACAAAGTTTTCAACCACTTCTGCGGTATCGTTACCTGACAAAGGGTATGCACAATTTGCTGTCAATGCTACAGCTGCACCTTGTTTGTTCAAAGAGCCAAACACATGGTCTATCAAGTAACGTCTTGGGGACACAGACGGAGTGAGCCGAACGTTCTTATCGATGAGCTTTTCCGGATAACCATTGTCCTGCAGAGTTTGTCGAATGAAGCGCAGTTCTTCATCCAGTGTTTCTGCCGGACAAATATTCCAGGCTCTGAAGGTTAGACACCGGACTAGATTGCGTTTATATTTCACAGGAGCGAAACTACGGAAGTTGGTACATTGGCCATTCCACGTTTTCTTTCTGTGGATCTGTCTTCTTACTGATCTTCTTCCCTGAACACGGCTACATTATGTAGGAAATTTTTCCACCATATGATATGTAAGAGCATGAATAGGAATATCCGAAAACAGTTGTTCGCTCACCGACTCGTTTTCTCACATTAAGACTCGTTTAATTGTGAGCGTTGTTCAGTGAGTTGCACACACTCATTTTGCTCAAAAAATAACATGGATGATCCTCATTTTTGTGATAGATGAGCTATAGAATTCCGTGTTTCATTTTCACACGCCTTAGGCATCGTGAATTGCGTGTGGAATCTATTTAATCAAACGGCTCTTCCAGTAATGATCTTGGTCGCATACAAAATGCTTCGGCTTTTCGAACACTGACTGCTAAAATAAAACGGTTGTGCATCGGTCATTTAGCTGAACAAAACCGATCGATACAGAAGAGAAATTACTCATGATTTCGATCGCAATTTTCTTTGAATGCAAAGTTTATTTGCAATACAAATAGGAGGGTAAGATAGGTTTGTGTTGATCCTTGTCGTACATTAAGCTGAATGTGGCATGAATTTCAGTTTTTGGAGAGCATTTAGGTCTTTACACTTCACCGTTCACACTGACTGAGAAAGCACCGAATTGTATCGATCTCAGTGTACTAATGAGTGTTGTATGACTGTTGCGAATTTTCACAGAACTAAATAATAACGATCAACAGGGGCAACCTGTTTGCACTTAGGCATACAAAAAGCAGCTGACCCCGTCTGTGTGCAACTCGGTTCAACAAAGGGAGCCTCGTTCCGTAGTAACAAACTCATATAGATTAGAGAAAAACACGGGTACTCCTCTATCACGTTGTTGGTGTAAAATTGGTCGTACTATTCAGCCTTTGTGTCGACCCAAGTATTATTGTTCCGCTCGACTGGATAAGCAAGAAGATACGGGACTACACAACCAATGACATATGCAAGCTGTTTCTTGATAAATCTATTACAAAAATTTGGTAAATGGATACGCCGCTTGATCTCCAATGCACCTTTTAGTCAGAAGATTTTATGCGGGAATTAATGTTACGGACGGGGGCATTGTTCTTTTCATGTAGTACCATGTTTCTCACGGACTAATGATAAGAGTTAAGTGACCCTTGTTGGCAATCACAGGGAAGTGCATAGCCACAGGGCATGTTGTTGCGTTACCAGATCGCTCAGAGTCAGAGAAAGAACAAAGACCGTCTGAATGTCATATCTGTGTATGTTCCAATGAATCCCTCAAGCACTAGACCACATGACACGAGCGATAATCATATCATAAGAGGTCAAGGTTAATGACACTGTCTGTTCACCTGCTGACCATTGGCACCCCTTGTGACAGATGGAACCGGTGTGTTCACCACATTGATTCCTAGGCACTAAATACAACCCTTTCGTCGTAGCTGACCACTATGCAGATTAGTGGTAGCACGGAGTTGCCCGCTGTCAAAGTGACGCGACACGTTGTTGGTGTGCAGTGCATGGTCGGATTCATCTCGGTTAGCTTAATGGAATCGTGTGGAACTCAAAGACAACCGCGGCTGTTTTCGAGGGGGGGGNCAGTATTTGCACATTACTGACAATTACCAAACAGGTTCAATAAAACATCTGTACAATGCTTCTATGGATTTTCATGCTACATTCTGCGACAAATGCTTCTTATAACCTCACCCTCTGAAGAAATTTCGTAGTATCTACAATTTTGAGTAACATAACAACCTTTCCCAGTTATAAATCCTAAAACTGAATTTATATTGCTTAACCTCAAATAAAAGGAGCCTATAATAGCAAACGGAAGTTCCGTTTCAGGATCTCGATATATCGTTGAGGCGTCACACATCCAAGGTCTTGGAGCCCCTTCTGGTCGACAGTTTACCCAATTACTTAAGAACAGACTCTATCTCATTTATTTTCTACTTATGGTACAGCTTTTGGGGCAGAAAGCCCCCAATGTCCTGTCCATTGGGCTGAGATGTGAGCTGAATTTAGATCGAACCATCACTTAAAAACCGAAGGGGAAGCGGCAAAAAAAGTTTTAGTCAAATGAGAATTGTGAATCGCGGCATACCAATGTTGAAATAGACTCTGCCTGACTATTAAACACCTTGTATTAGCAAGAAACCATCTTCCAGGTATATACACTGAGGTTATGAACACAATACAGATCGGTAAATTCGCCCGGAGCAGTGGACGAGAATGCTTAGAACTGGTCCGTCGGTTAGAGTACAGATTTGTTTTTCCCATACGTCCGGTCCGTCAAAGTTGAATTTCTTTCCTTCGCATAACTAGACGCATTTTCGCTTGTTTGACCACACAACGTGAGTTTTAGCTCTACAAAAAACACGATTTATACTTGAACTGCTGCGTACCATTTCTGCTTCCCCTTCGCCCGTACCCAATTCATGTGAAGTCCTTCACACCGAATTGTATTATGCAATTTATTACATTTAATCCAGAGAGGGATTACAGTTCTACGCCCATTTATTTTCCTCTGCACCGAGCTTCAATGCCTCGCAAAGCATTTGGTTACGCTTTTAGCTTATCTCGTGTAGAGCATCGTACTTTTATTTTGCCTGTTTTCGCACAATTGTTTAGTGGGGCCTAACGTAGCCGGGCTTTATTACATCCGGAAAAATCTCTTTAAAAACACATAAAAATAGCAAAATTAACAATAATGATTATAATAATAAATGAAGTGGTTACCGCAACGCTTCATCTGCATTTGTGAGACCGACAAAAACCACACCACTGGTGAATCCGATAGGTCGTTGTGTGAGCCCAGCCAGCCGTTTATATTGACCGTCAAGCCAAATTTTTTCGGTTAGTAGGCGTTCCTGATAGACTTCACGAGCCAGATCAGACTGCTCATTTGCCTGTCGTACGCACGGGAAGCAACAGCAACAAGAAGCACAGAACACCTTCAAGCACGTTCCGCAGCCACAAAATCCGTGCCAGAAGCGGGGATCACGACCGGTACGGTTGAACTCTGACTCGGCCAATTGAAAAAGCATTTCGGTTTCCAATCTGAAATAGATTGCCGAAATGGAAAGCGCAGTGTTATGCTCATGAAAACCGGGCAAATCCACTCAGCCAAACACCTCCTACTATAATACGTTTATTACAGCCGGTCCATTGAATGGCTCAAACATTTTGAGTGTAACGAGTAGACTTTCTGGTCTCTGAGAGCATATTGCACCCTCATGGTTTCCCATCGCTTTCCTCGGGATGCAAGAAGCTGACGGTCACAGTTCGACAATTTGTTGGAAAAACGGGCTTACCCCACGTTCTTAGAAGTTGTAGAACATCGTGCAAAACCACTTATTCAGTGATTTAATATCCACACGTTCACGGCGGATCAGGTATTCAGTCTATTTGTCTCTCTCTCCTCCAACCCATGACCTGAACACGAGCGTGACTCTTTGCAAACTATCTGGTCGCAGATTTACAATTGCCTCGGATATATGAACCTCACAATGAAGAAAAACCAAGTTAAACACAGTGGCTGGACGTGCAACGAGAAATTTATGATTCGTCTTATTTAAAGAATTATTTATCATGTTTGGAAGAGATGTTCCTTTAGGATGTTTGCGTTCTTCGGTAAATTAATACACTTAATCTATAGTAGCAATGCTGAGTTGAATAAGTGATTGACTGTAATTTTGGTAAAATATTTCTCAAAGTTTATAAGACACTACTTGAAAATGTACCGATAATCGTCAGTTGTCACCTTTTAGTTAAAATATTAAAAATAAATGCCTTTTTACTTCCTTTCTTATTTATTGAATATACAAATGTGAGGTCATTTCTCAGGAAGCGGTCTGCGATCATGCAAAGGCTGTCTGGAGAAATACACAAAATGGGAAGACGGGTGGTGATGGAGCGGTTTGAACCCGCGACTTCTGGGTCACAATTAAGTGACTTAACCTATTTTTCAGCTAGTTAAAAGGTGATTCCATTCAGATGTAGAAGTTACTTTTTTCAAGTTTCAAGCCAGGAAAATAGAGTGATTGAATGAACAAATAAACTGCGATAGAAATGTTTTGTGATAACCGACAGAGGGCACTGGACAGCTGTTTAGTACTGCTTGGGACTCATCAGCAGTGCGTACTGTTTGTATCCCTGTCAGGACTCGAACCGCGAACATTCGCGTTGGGAATTCAAATCCTTACCCCTGAGCTGCACGGTCGACGGTCCTCACCTTATGCGAATGTTCGTTTGTTCAGAGGCACCTCGTGGGGAATTAACCATCCCCCAAGAAGCGAAACCCAAACCCAAGACTATCAAGAGAGCCTGGTGCCTCTGAACAAATAAACTGTCTCAAATCGTAGAATATTCCCATAGGCAATGTAGCAAACGGTGTTCGCGAAGAAATTTCTTTTCCATATGTCGCATCAGGCTGTGACATATATAAGTTGACTGTAATACAGGTATCTGAAATCTCAGTTAATAACGATGATACAGGTGAGCAAACAGAGCAAACGAATATGACAGGGCTATAGTGATAGTCGTAGAGGGCGTAAGAGGACAAAGCTCAAATGAAAAACGGTAGAGGGATGGGTAGATCAACAAGGAGGTTGTTAGCTAAGACGAGTTAGTGGGATTAAGTTACGTAAGATACCCTAGAAACTATACATACGTGCATATCAAGTGATGTAATCGGGAAGGGACACTGGAGTGTCCCCTTGGTTGGCTCTGCTTGGTCGCCTCTCATAGTTATAAACTGAGCTTTAATCAGCCAATCGGATATCTGTACCATGATCGCCTTACATATGTAACCGCCTGATGCGATATGTCGAAATGAAATCTCTTCGCGAACACCGTTTTCTAAATAAACTGCTGTGCATTGTGATTACTTGGTGGTTCTATTATGACTTTTGTGCACCGTGATAAATTACTTTTCATAAGACATGGTTTGGCGCCCAGTTTATCACCAAATTCCACCAGGGCCATCTTTCGAAAACCTTAGCAGCCGATGTCGTCCAGCCAATAAATGCGTTCCGTGAGTTTATACTACTCAGAAGGCACTCACATAGATTGCCTTTTTCATTGTGCAAATATCCATTCCTGAGAATAGCGCATGCCAACAATGAGCCATGCCAATTGAGTCCAGTCACGCACACCGAATGAATGAATTTTCGGTAGTTTTCTAGAGAATAGCATGCATACAGTACTGTGCTGTATCAGATTGTGGTATAGTTACGATTGAACAACGGGGCAGAAAAAACAAACAAATGAATAATTCACAGTTTCGAACAATGACACCTACCTTGCACGTTCTTGTGTGACAATCTGATACACGTCGTACAAAGGTCGAATCCATTGAACATTGATCGGTGGATCAAACGAACTGCACGGGATGGGGCAAACGGAAGGACACCGCAAAAGTTCAAATGCGATTGCAACTGGAGCCCCGTGAATTGCCCTTGTTAAGAATAAATCAAACTGAGCAACTGTCAGATTGAAAAAAGGTGTACGGGAAAACAAACCAAAATAGGTTTTACAATTGCGTTTTTTGTTCCATGTAAGTGTTTCGTTTTTCACACAGTCCTTCTTCCGTACGCAGATTTCTCCATTTATTACTTCCAACAATCAAGAACACTAACTGAAAACTTAAGTAACCGGCCGTCTAAGCCATTGGACATTGAATGGGAACCATAAAAGGTCTATCGAGGACAGGCCTACTCTCGAGCCAGACTAAAGTAAACTTGTCAACCACTGAAGTTGGGTAGTAATGGCGATTGCAGGGTAGTAACTCTGGAGGTAATTGGGTAACGCGTGCCCTAGACAGTGTTTGAAAAGCCATCATCCATTCATAAAGAATATCCCTCTCAAATCGGATTACCGATTAACCCTGAACGCATGTATTTTCACCAACCGTTCTTGTAACGGCTTCATATGGGTTAATATTCCGATATGTTTAATGAACCGTCAACCAGCTGTTATTGCACATCCCTAAGATTGTATGCTTCATACTCACTTCATGCTGGAGAGCACTATCACACTTTTGGAGTAATAATACAATGAGAAAACGAGTCAGTGAGCGAACAATGGTTTTCGGATTTTCCCAGTCATGCTCCTACATACAAAATAGTGGAAAAGTGCTTACATAATGTTCATGGCCGTTGGTTTCGTAAATGCTCATCAATCGGAGGATATCTTTCTCCTACTGTTCATTTAAATTGGTAACCAAAGACAGCAACCAAAACCGGCACACAACAGTGCATAGTCAATGACTGTACAAACAAAAAGCTGAATGAGTATGAGTGTCTGTGTTTGGTTGTGTGTGCATGTAAGAGTGTTTAGCGTGTTAGTTGATGTGACATTTCCTCACATAGGGTCAAGTGACTCGTCATGTTCTCCCTTGGTTCTCGCAGAAACTTGGCCATTAAGAAAACAGGATGAAGATAGACTGTCGGTGTTTAAACACCGCTGTCTACGCAGCATTGTCCGAAGCTGGCTAGGCAGCCGGACGAGCAATGCTGAGGTTATGCACAGAGTTTTGGGCAACCGCGGTCGCCCATTGGAGCAAGTGGTCGACCGCCATAGATTACGTTGGTTGGAGCATGTGCTACGAATGTCACCAGATAGGTTGCCATGGCGAGCGATGTCCACCGAGGCAGCTAATGGGTGGACGAAAGTCAAGGGTGGTGAACCTAAGACCCGGAAAGATGGTATGGAAACCCTAACCAGGAGTCTGGGTCTCATAGAGGTCTTTTTAGGCTCCCTGGCTGGTGACCTCGGGATGATCGTAACCGATGGTTAGAGTAATACTGATGAGTGATATTGCTGGGTGTCGTAAACAGTGGCGTTCTTGCATCTTCTCAATGTCTTTGCAACACTAGTCCATTCCATTTTCGATAGAAACTTGGTTTTCACACCCGAGCAAGGCAATTAAATCTTTTGAACCAGTATTTTTAGGTCTAGTGAGAGAATGGCGATCGTCAAATAAAAAGCATAAATTGAACAATCCCTAAATTATTTGTGGGTTATTAAGAAAAAACATAATGGAAATGAAATGATAATCCGTGCATTTGTAACTTTCATTTGTAAGTGCATCTGGTGATGTACGTAAGCGTGAGAGGGTACGGACGATAATAGTCTGCAACTGAAAAAATAAGCATAGTCGAGTTGACAGGGTTGCGATCAGCAACGTGGGACGACGTATCATGTAGTCGACCATGAACTAACGCATGTCAAAGAGGAGTTTCGGGATTTCATAGAAAGTATGCCTAAATGGTGCGTTTGAGTTCTGAAATGCAATAGATACTATACTTTTGCGTTGAAAGGCAAGGAGGAGGATAACGTTGTCGTAGGAATATTTTCATTTTTGATCATATTTTCTTCGCACCAAACGCGTAATTAATTCATGAGAGACCTTTTATTGGACCGCTATTATTGCACATCAGATGGTGTTGTAGCCAGAAGGAGAATAAACTGCGAAAACCTATGACGGGGTTTAAAATTTTGTGTGCTATTGAATATCATTGTCGCTTTTATTATCCTACTCAAGATTTCACGTGAATCACAAGGAGATTTACAAACGCCAGTTGCGGATTGAGTTGTCGGAGTTCAATGGGTATGTGGATTTCAAGTGGATCATATCAGATTCAAGGGCGAATCCACGCAATGAATGGTGTAAGATGATAGAAAAATCCCGGCATGTTCAACAGTTTGCAAGGCGATGTAATGGGATCGACTGGTATAAGAAGCAGAGTGAAAATATGTGTGCGGATCAGGGAGGGAGCTGGGTTGGAATAATGATGTTCATGAAATAAACCAATACTTTGCTTCCGTTCAATACATACATCATGGTGCGGTCGATTTTTACGGAGATAAAAGCTTCAATTCAATGGTGTGCAATGAAATGCTATAGTGGGGTGGTGGTTCGAACACGAGACGTCTGGCGCGATCCAATGGTGACCTAGACCGCTCGACTGAGGCCAATTGTAATGCTCATTCTGCACGGTCTATCCGATGAATGACAGGACAACAGTTTATCAGAAGTAAAAGAAAACTAATTTAACGATTCTTTCCGCTCGGCAGAAATACATGTGTGCAGTAAGTAGTTCGACTGGTAGTCCTGGCCATAAAATTTTCAGATATCAGCGGTTCAATCAAATTTATACAATGGGTTTGTGGCCAATCCTTAAAATTTATATAAAGTCATCGTTTCTTATAACGGTAACCTCCTAATGAATTTGAGAAGTATTCATCGAATAATTCGTATTCACAGATTCCGCATATACTGAAATTCACATCAAGTAGAGATGACCATGGAGGGGTTGTTCTTTCAACTGATAGCTGGAACAAGCACTGATGTGAATAAATATTGCAAATGGGTAAACTTAGCATGCTTTAGTACCACTGCAATTCAGCTCACCTGAAATAGGAGGTGATTTCTTTTTCCAACTCATTCAGTGGTTTTTCTGCAACATTGGACAACATCAGGACGTTCGGTATCTGTCCAAGGCAAACGAGTGAACGTTCTGGTGTGAGGGTCATGGGTGGGATGGTGTAGTGCTTGCACAAGTAACAGAATGGACCGCAAATAACAAGCTAATCGAATTGAAAATAAATCAATTACTTTTTGGTTGTTTACGCTGTTTTAGTTTCTTCNGGGGGGGTGGGTGATAGATGGCACGATAATGGCCATAAATACGTCGAGTGCCACCTTTGAGCTAGTAGTAGACTATCCCATCCCTTGAGGCATGTGGCATTTCTTCCTTCTCGTTTCTAACGAAGGTCTATTTGATCACGTTTCGTTTGTGGTCACCGCGAGGGTGTTAGAATAAAAACACAAGGGGATCGATCAACAGAGACCGTGTTGATGATGCATGAAGGAATGTACGAAAAGATTAGCTAGGACAGAAGTCTCGCATTTTCCAGACTGGAGTTCGAAGAAATTTGCAACTCACTGGCTAAACACCGTGAAGGAAATGGTGGTAAACTGAGAACAGTGACGCTCTGGATGTCACGCCGCTTCAGGTTCGAATGGTAAAAGAAATGAGTATACACAGTTAAATTTTGTGTCCTTTGTGTGCTGAACAAAGAAATTTCTAATCTTTTCAGTTCTTTCAGCATGAAGCCTTTCTAAACCACCTTTCTTAGTTGATCTGACTTTGTGTAAGTTATCTGCTTGGCAACAATCAACTTGATTCATTTTGCTGTATTTAGCTGCATTAGTACTGTTACCATTATTAATATTATTACTATTAATAATTCCATGGGTAATAACAATGACATTTACAATAACTTATTCAAATTTCACCAGTGAGTATGGAACCTGAGATAATCATCAGCGACCATACGTTAGAAAGCAGGCTAAACCGGTTTCCATATAGCCACCGCGTGAAATAACCTCAAAGTGACCGTGTAGGATTTGCTAATATAACGCTTGCAAACCGTGCCAGTTATATTTGCTTGTACCCCGTGGAACCTTTCTGGTCCATGACGTTTTATTTGCTTTGCCTTGCAGGTTTATCTTTAACCCCGACCCAGGGAGAACCTGTCTGCTAGCGTTTCCTCTCCACCCTGTGTCCTGGTCTTATTGTTTCCCTAAGGTCGTTCCCCCACCGTAGTCCGTCGAACTCAAAGCCTCGTGTCGTCTCGATTTGTGGGAATACCAGCAGAGAGACGTCCTGACGCGCATCTCTGTTCACTCTGATGCGCTTCGAGAGCCTGGAGTACGTTTGTATTACACCAAGATAGCCATCTTTCAGTGAGTTGACAAGATCTACCAGCTAGACCAACGGTAATGGAGGAAATCCATTCAAGCAATATAGCTACTCTGATCACTGAGCTAACTTTACATCATTCAAATGGTGAGTGATCTGCCAGCAACAGACACAAGAACTTTTATGTTATCAAAATGCGGCCAAGCAACACAGCCAAGCAGTTAAGGAATCAATCAACGCGGACAGTTCAACACTGACATCTGATTGACTGGAGTGGATGAATGTTGTAATAGAGTTATTCTGCATGTGTGCGATAGCAGGCCACACCAGTTAAGTAATCAACCAGATCATAGGCCTGCATAGAAAACGTTTCAGGTAATTGTAAGCCGAACACAGGGAGTTGTAGAGACTGATTGCCGAAAGAATGATTGGACTAGATTAATGACGATTATCAAAAAGGGCTTATTGGCAGTAAGACGTCGATGCAACCCACCAGTAGAGTCATGTCCATTAGAGCTATTACGAATAACAATATGACGTGTGATGTTTAGTGTGAAAAGTGTTACCCTTTAGGCGAGTTTCATTCATCTGTTTATCAGATTTTTGTTTCAGCGTACGGGGAATAACAGAGGTGGACAAGAACAGAAAACCGGATATAGAGAGTGTGACATACCTGATTGACGAGCAGACATTGGCATGTAGATTCGGGGCCATTAATCTGTATCTGTGAGTCTGTGGACCATGCTGACGAGTCTGCCCCGTCCGTATTGATGAGCAATTGACTGTGCGAGCTGGTGTGTGCGCCCTCGTTCCACAGGCGACATATACCGGACAGTTTGGGCCAATAGTAAGCGTATTCAAATCGCAGCCCGACAAAAACCAGATAAAGGATACTGCTGACCAGAGCCAAAGCCCACAGAATCCACGGTCCTTGGCTAATTTCAAAGTAAGACGGCATCCAAATCAGTCCGAGTGAGACAGAAAGAACAAGAGGGAGTGGGAAATATGAGAACGCTGTCATAAAAATGCTAACATACTTTTGTAACCATATAATTTACTATTTATTATCACATTCATAAGCAACAGATCAGAGTAAAGGTTGTAAAATACATAATCGAAATGTTTATTTATTTCAAGGAATGTAACGTGATTGGGGCATGTGATGAAACTAGTGGATTATGTACAAGCGATGTTGTTGCTGTTATTCAGGACTGAGGATCCTCGTAGTGGAATGCATTTCATCAAATGGATGTAAGACATGATAAATAAGACTTCTCGACAACTTTACAAGTGATGCGCACCTATTTCCACACTTACAGTTTCGTACATCGAAGCTCTCCGCGAAAAAGTAATTATTAAAAGAAGTCGTTCCACCAACTTTTACAAATACGGGTAGATACAATCAGTCGGGCACTGTCTAGAGATACATTATTCTTAAAATCAATGGTGTAATTTGCATCAGAACAAGGTGAATATTTTGGCTGTAAAATAAAAACAACTATCTAGTGTTATCAATTACAATCAAACTAATTTGGGTCAAATATTTTTGTTTTAATTTGAAAGTTTACCACTGAACCAGCGCAACTGCTTGTACAGACACCGCGCACTGCGTATCAGCATCGTTTGCATGTGCGTGTGTGTTGGGGAGGAGGCTTCACCTTGCGAGAGCTCGCTCGTCCACAAAAATGTTAATAAAACACGAACACTCAGACAAAACCCAGACACAGAAGGCCTGAGTTGAACTAAGTACTAACTCCGAATCCGCAAAGTGAGAAATAGTCTTGAGAACAGTCAAGACGCTAATTAAAACGTAGAGTGAATACCAGCACTGTTTAAAAATGCCCAGATGTACCGACCGTCAAAAGTGCGTCATTTTGAAGTTTCATGAATTTTAACGAAATAAAGGACACAAGAGGACATAGTTGCACAATTTATTTCCGGGAAAAAATTTCGGTGTATCTCTTCAGGTAAATCTTTAATTCAAAATTTTTCAGCAACTATGTTTGCTGTTTCGATCGAATCAGTACTGAAGAATTCAAAATGATATCGGTCGAATTTCCTCTGGCCCAAATAATACCAGAATGGTCAACTGTGGTTTGGAGCTGCGGTCTCTGCTTGAAACCATTTTTGACAGGTCCGGTGGAGGATGAAACAGCAATGCAATGCATTATGGCGGCCATCTTTCGCAATTTTTGACAGAAAATTTTATCGTTCAACTTTCGAAGTGGAGATGTTTCGTCGCATTGCCCCGAACAAACTAAATTGATTGATTTGTACTAACTATCCTTGGACTTCACCTTTACGCAAAATCCTCAGTTTATCAATTCAACCATACAGTCGGTAGCCATAGACTTGAGTTTCGCTCTTATTAGAACTGATCAGTAGTTCATAAACACCATCCTGTCGGGGATTTGAATTCCGAACCCATGGTATGGAAGGCGTGTGGATTACCACTGTGCCAACTAATTCATACCATGGTTGAGCCGACGTACCAATTCACACATGCTGCGTGCAATATATTTCATAAATATCTGCAAATTTGCTTTCTTCAATAAATTAGTACAAATTTCTGTCTATGTTAATTGTAAAAACATATCAATTGGGCGATTAAATGATGATGGAAAACATGGAGAACCGACTGATCTGATCGACCATTCCAATGGTTGTATATGCAAGTACGTGTGTGTGTGTGTGTGTGTGTGTGTGTGTGTGTGTGTGAGTATCTTCGATCAA